GTTTATGCGGTGGGTCGGTTTACAGCATGTTAGGGTGTAGTAGTTATGATCACGTGTAAGTACCCTTAGATCTGCATGTTCCTACTGGTCAAGTTTATGCGGTGGGTCGGTTTACAGGATGTGCAGTTGTAGTTTTTTCATTTATGACTAATCGTAAATAATGATTTTCATTCTCTTCGTAGGGTTACTGGGTATGGCCACATTATTTACTACCAGTAAAGTATGACAACGGCGATAAGTTACCAGTTGGCCCGCGAATCCCAGAAGACTTGAGAATAAACAGAATCCGAGGTCCTTTCGACACGTGGGAAGACCAGAGTAGCGACTGATCAATGAATTCTCGACATATTTTCGAGGACTTAATTGCTTGCACACGACCTTTTTTAAAACCCATTTATATGCGTCACTGGTGTACCCCCACTGTCCTTCCTCCACTCTCCCCCTTGCCGCAGACGCAACGCTCGCTTTTGGAGCGAAATTTCATTACTTTGTAAATTTGATAAGTTTAATCTCAGCAGTTTTTGTCTCAGTTTGTTGCGTTATAAATCGTGAGAAAATGTACAAATATAATATTGATACAGTATATGTGCTAAATAGACTGAAAATAAAAGTTCCAAAATGGGTTACCTGTGTCATTGTTAACCTTGTAGAACCCAGGGATAATCACATGAAGCTTCGCACGAAGCCAAAAAAATCGTCATGATTTCCTTATTTATTCTACATCCTTCGCTTAAATATCTCAGTTAGACCTCAGATAAAGCTGTTATTATGGGGTTATTTTGCTCAAGAATTTGCCGGGCTTCAGTTTCTGTGAATGGTACTCGGTATGAAATCGTTAAGGATCTTGGAGAAGGAGGTAAGTAAGAGAGAAGCATGTTATAGTAGCCATGATAACTTATTAAGCTTARACTTACTTTATTTAATGTTTTTTCTTGTACATTAGCAATTTTGTGCAACAATCAAAAACAATAAGCTTATTTTGACTCACGATAAATCTTCATTATGGAACGATAGCATCTATTAAGCTTTATTAAACTTGATCAATCTGTTGAGCATTTTTTCTTACAACATTTAAAAGAAATTTGTATTCTATTCTCTTCTATTCTATTGTATAAAGTGTTTTATCTATTATTTGGCTATTATATTTCAATCGAGTGAATTTATAGTGACACTGCTGCAGTTGAATAAGCGACGTGATTTTCATATTAATTTTTAAGTAATTTAGGATTTTATATGACGTATATGTAGATGACATAATCTTAAGCGTAAGGGTCTTTTATAGCTTTTAAGAAACACATGAATAATTCGTAAGCCTTTGGTACAATTAGAGCGACCACACACTTCAAAAGCATGGGCCTATAAGGTTCTATTTCTTAGTATTGAAGTGATCTTTATATTAGACAAATAAAACAGCTTTTTCCATGCTCCCTTCAGTAATAAAGCATGTAGGAAGTGACGTAAGCATGAAAGAAGTGTAAGGAGATGCACAAGCCATAGGTGGGTGCTTCTCACACTTCTTGAGTGCTCAAGGTGCTTCCTAAGTATGTATATATTATATTATATATATCATATATTATATATATTATATCATAGATCGTAGATCTACAATCTATTACCCTCTGCAACTTTGCATTGAGCACTCTACCAACAGTATAGACTCAAGCATCCAGATTTATATCATATTATATATATGTTATATYATATAGAACTACTAATTTTATTTCGGTAATGAATTCATTTACACATTGTCAAAAAGAAAGACAGTTGCAGGATCTAGCAGCACTTTGCGCGAGCGGATGGCATCAGCACTGTGTTCCGTTCATTAATAAAGCACAGTTTTCGACCAATAAGCGTGCGCATACTATCCTAGCTATATGATAAAAAGAATTAATACTGATGAGGATAAATTTATCAAGATATATGTTCATCCAAGTTTGTATGAAATCTTGGGTCTAATCAAGGCCAGTCTTCCATATGAGTTACAGACCACTCACAAAAGCTCATTGACTAGCTCCCCTGTCTTGAGAATGGCATGCCRTCTTCAACTTGTGGGAGCCTTTAATTGGACTAGCTGACTGAGGATGACCGCCATGTTCAGATGAAACCTCTATTACTGTCCATGTTAGTGATGTGTTCAATAAACTCGCAGGTCATGTTTACAGTTAGACTACCAGTGAGAACCAATCAAATTGTAGAATGAAAACAATTCATTTCAACTTTGGGTAGTGGAGCCAATCAGTAAGCAGCAGAAAACAATAGCCTTTCAACATATCTTTTTATTCCCATGAGAAAATGAAAATGGCTATCTAGTTGTCAACACTTAACATTAGAATCTTGAACCTGAACAAAAACAATGTATACCAACTTGGGTAGTGGAGCCAATCAGAAACCTAGATTGCATGAGAATGGTTGAAGTCTAGGTTTCTGATTGGAAAAAATTACCATTCTCGTGCAATCTAGGTTTCTAATTGGCTCAATCAACTAGCCAAAATTGGAATGCATATGTTTTCATTCTACATTTTAATTGGTTCTCTTGTCTAACTGGTGTAAGTGGCCCCGGTTACAGTAGTTGCACTGTAAATATCAAGCCTAGCTAGAACCACTCGCTGTGCCTCATGCTTTCATACCTGAATACTCCTTTGATTACCTTATTAGATGTTCATATTTATTATGCTTCATACCGTAATTATAATAAGTATAATTATGATATTCTTTATTTGCATGCAGCCTTTTCATATGTCCATCTGGTCAAACATGGCAAACACTACTATGCATTGGTGAGTTTTGTCAAGTTACCAGTATTTCACGTTACATTATTATCACTCACTCTATCATTTCCATTCCTTTATAATATAATTATAGAAAAGAATGAGATTACAGTTACCAGAACAAGAGGAGGTATGTGTCTTGCATTTATATTTTACATTAATTATTTTAATTAATAAAGTAAAAAAATGATATAAGGACCAAAATGTTATGTCATGTAGCTATTGGGTAGTTATTAAAGATAGCTTAACTGGAATAACTTTTGAATTACAGGCATTTGAAAGAGAAGTTGCTGCTCATCGAGCTGTTGATCACCCTAATGTACTGGGTTTATATGATGTTGAACTTGTAAAAAAATCAGATTATAAGGAGGCCCGTATGCTTCTATCTTATTACAAGGTACAAATTAACTGATTAATGCATGACCAAGAAAAAAAGTCAAAGTTGTGGCAGTTGTTTGTGACTAATCACAACCAATTTGAGAGAGATATATTTCAAATTTATTCTTTATAAGCTTCTGAGTTTGCATAGAATGTTTTTGTGTAAATGTCTATGGAATTTCAAAGTATTTATAGCTCAAGTATTTATAAGCTCAAGTGTTAGTGAAGTTCTGCATGGCTTTGGTTTATGATTGGTGTTTTCATTGAAAAGAATGACTACCATGAATGAAACAGAGGTTGTTTTATAACTACAAGAAAGTCTGACTGTTCAGATTATTCATCATTGTAGTACAGTTCCAGAAATTTACATTTAATAAGGTTGCTATTTTTCATTTGTTTATTGTTAGGATGGCACAGTACAGGACTTAATAGAGAAAACAGTGGGGTATGGTAACCCTGCACCAGAATCAGATCTGTTAAARATCTTTAGATCTGCCTGTGAGGCTGTACAAGCATTTCATGCTCACTCTCCACCACTTGCTCATAGGGACATCAAGGTAACGTGACTTAACACTCATTATCCACTAACAGGGTAGCATGTTTTCACGCAGACTAGTGGTATATGACATCTGGATAAATAAATTTCAGCTATATTAATGTATCTAGTCTGCAAATGTCAATAAAGAACAAGTTATTATAATACTCAAGAAAAATGTTCTGAAATGGGAGAGCAGTAAATAATGACACTATTCTTCAAAGCAATGGTTAACCCTTTCACTATTAGAGCAGCCAAAAGCGGCCAACCAGAAATGCAACATTTTTCCTAGAGCAGACAAAAGCAGCCAGTGGAAAGACATTTTTGCTTTTCAATTACAGTACCTGTTGTCCCCTAGGACATTTCTATGTGTTGAAACATGTGGGCTATTGTTTTTTTGGATCATTAACCAATCAAATTCTATCAACTGCTTTGATATGTGTTATAAGGCCTCAATATCTACTGAGCATGTGTTTTTCATTTTGATATTGAGAAATAAAAAACACCCTAATTATGTTCCAGGAAGAACTTGTGTTGGACCCTTTTAGCCTCTAGTAGTGAAAGGGTTAATGATGATAATTTTATATATAAGCCAAAAATAATAATAAAGGCAAACAAATTGATTTATTATTCTGTCATTTAAGGAAGGTATGTTTGTTTTTTTTGTAGGGGAGAGGGCTGAGGGTTCAAAGGGGAGGGTCACCAGTAAAAAATTTAAATTTTGCAGAGGTTCAAAACTTTTAATTTTGACAKAAGCAGTTTCCTTGTAGACTCAATAGGAGAGTCATGAATTTCTTACTTACTGAAAGGGTAAGGGCTACAACCATTTTTGAAAGTTTCCTGCGAATTCCCCAGCCCTTCCCCCTCCCCCCAATATTAAGAAATGTACCTTCCCTTAGTGACTTTTTAGTTTTTCTTTCAACAGCCTCATAATCTTCTTCTCGGTCCAAATCATACTGTTATACTGTTTGATCTTGGAAGTGTCTCTGAGGCAAGATGCTCTATCAGATCCAGGTAAATTAATGATAAAACAGAAGAAAGCAGCCTGGTTAGTTCATTTTGTAAGAGCATTGTTTTGTTGTGCAGGAGGTCATGGTTTGAGTCCTGGCCACACCAATACTCTGAGTCTTCGAGGAGAAGTCACTTCCTTTGCAATTAAATCTGCAAAGGGTTAGACCTTCAAGGCTTCTTGGATAGGCTTGATAACACTAATGTACTAACAATAATATTCACTCATGATTGTAAGTTGCATAGCTGGTAATAGAATCTTAAAATGAAGCCAGTAAGGTCGCCAATAAAGTCCTCCACTGCCGTCATGAAATGTTAAGCACATTGACACATTTTCCCATTTGTGAAAAAAATGTGTTTGGGRGGAGAGGAAGGAGCCTTCACTTGGAAAAGGGCAGAGATGCTTATCCTACCTTTTAGTGTTCCAGATTGGTGATTTGGTACCTATTAGGGTGTCACAAAATTAAAAGGACCACTAGAGAGTAAGTCAGTACCTCTTAGGGTGTTTGTCAGACAATAAGAATGATACCCTTTTTCAAAATTCCCRACAAGCATCCCCACCCTTCTATATAATTATGAGAGTCCCCCCCTCCCCATATGTGTTATATAAGAACTCAACTTTACAACATCAAGTGATATTTCTAGAAATCTTGGAAAATCCCTCTGTGTGACATTAAAGATTGTACACAGTTTWAAAAAAAACATAATATTGTCTGTTGTGAGCACTCCGCACCATTCGGTAAGGTGTCTGTAAGTGGTTGATAATTTAACAGTAAATTGTTGGTAAGTGATCGGCCATACGGTGTGGATTGATCACAATAGCCATAATGTTAGTTCAAAAAGTTTAATCCAGGTTTTGGGCATTTCAGGAGAGAGGCTCTGGCATTGCAGGAAAGATGTGCCCAGGAATGTACGGCTGCATATAGGTCAGTATAATTGTAACTTTATCTCAAGAGATCTTAGAATTGTTAAAAAGAAAATTCCACATAGATGTGCACTGTAAAAGTGCCCGTAACATTGTGTCATACAGCATCATCTGAGCAAATCAGTTGTTAGATTTGTGCTTAATTCCAGTTCATTGGCCAATTTCAAGCCAAGAAAGGCTGGGACCTAGTTTTAGTTATTTTTTTCCAGATAGGAGTCGCACTGCTTGTGACTGACTGTGCATTCCCTGATTTCAGGCTAAGAAAAAARCTATTGACTCAGTGAAGTTATAATAATAATGGTTTGGCATTGGATCTGTGTTGAGGAGAGAGGAAAAGCAGAGATCCCAGAAAAAGACCCTTGAGGCAAAATACGAGAGAGAACAACACAGCAAACCAATCATATCAACATGTGGCATCCAATGTTTTTCTCCTAGGCCACCCTTGCTACCCATAAACATATTTTCTTCTTAAGTCAATATATTTTGGGTAACACCATGGAGGAACTTTTTGCTGTTCTGAATGGGCAAAATAAACTTAATAAAATGAACTGGTAATCAGTATTTTACAGGTAAAAACAGTTATAGATTTTTGATTGGCTACCCTCCAGAAAGTAAAGTATTGGGAAAGTAGAGAATACCATAAATTATTACTAAAATACTATATATTATTTCAAATTACAAAATGATCTACTTTGGTCATAAGAAATGTAAATTTAATTTAATTTGTAATAATTTGTGTTTTTGTAAATGTGCCATGCAGAGCTCCAGAATTATTTGAAGTGCCATCTCACTGTGAGATAGATGAGAAGACAGACATCTGGTCACTTGGTTGCACGCTTTATGCCATGGCTTATGGTAGGTAGCATTCTATTGTGTAGGGGGTTCTGAGTAAATACAGGGGAAAATAGGCCAAAAACATCGGGACTGTATAGTCTGTATGAAATTGGTGTTACTTTGTGTCTTATTTTTGAATAAGGCGAGTCTTATTTGATGACAGGGTTATGAGCTGTTCTAAGTTAAGCCAACCCTTAGATAAGACCCAAACATGTTCATATAAATGGCACTTACTGATCTTAGCTAATCACAAAGCAATGTGTGCATGCACAACTGCACACAGGGAACGTACACAAACCAGGCTGTATCACCAACAAATCAGCTGAAATTTAAGATGTGAGTTGTCTAATATCATGATCTTGGCATTTTATGTCAAAATAAGATGGATCAGCATGTAAATGGCCCTAAAATATGAAATTCCGATTTCCTATGGAGATGAATAGAGGGCCACAGTTTGATCATTCTGTGTAGTGTCACCCTCATTTAATAGAAATAATTTATTATTATTATACCCTTCAAATAATACCAGTTATTTCATCATCTTGATTTAATGGCTAAATGTTATAATATTATTTTGCCTGTGCCTTTGGTCTCGTATTACATGATGATGATTGACCCCTTTCACTTTCATTTCACCTTGGAAACTAAGCAATATATTAATAATTAATTATTAACTTTGGTCTCAATTATTTATATTTCAGGTGACAGTCCATGTGATGGGTCAGCTCTGTCTGCATTAAGTGGAAATATTCAAATCCCATCTAACAGGTAGGTAGGTCTGTAGAATAGGATGTGTTCTGTTTGTGTGATATATACTTGGGCATTGCAAAGCTCACAGATATCCTCCACCTATAAGTTCACTTACTTTTACTGAACAGCATTCTCACCCTCCAATCGGTCTTTAAGTACTTAAACATTTCCTCTTTTACTCCAACAAAGGACTAGTGTCCGAAACTAATTACCCATTTATCATTACTCTTTCATTAGAAACAACGATGCAGCTCACRCTAGTTTTTAGCTAGTTAAATCTCTTTGTACTTAAACATACTAGAACTTATATTGATAATTATGATATTAGACAAACATTTTACAAGAAATGTAAGGGATATTAAAGAATGACATTTCAGAGACATCTTGACTCCATCAGCAGGCTCATTTTGAATAATTAACTGTGATCAATGTCGTTTTTTAATATCCCTTAATTTTCTTGTAAAAAATAATTTTGGATTTATCTTAATTTTGTTATGTTTCCTGCAGTGCGTATTCATCAGATTTCAACATACTCATTAGAAGCATACTTCAAGTAGATCCTCAGGAACGGCTAAYCATACCAGAGGTCTTGAGAATCATTGACAATCTGTGCCCGTCAAGAGCAGAATTTGCTTGTGCTGACTCCAAGGACATCTCTGTACAGGCTGTGTATTAAAAACCGATATCATYGACTTTTATAAGTTGACTAGAGAAAATTAATTTAAATATGCATTATGTCTAACTGATTATTTTGGCCATAATGTTTTCACATGTGAGAACATAAGTCATTCACTTTGAGCATTTTTTGTTTATTTACTGATTAAGCTTGTCAGAGAGGATGTCTTAGACTTACTCAATATTATTTCACCTCAGATAGTGACTGTCATTTCTGCAGAGTATTATTTCTCTGAGTCTTAAACTATTAATTCATATCAATTTATAGGAATTTTAGCAAATACTGCGAATGAAATGCAGTATTTAGGTTCATTAGGGAAACATTGCACCTAAACGATATATTAGGAAAAGATATCCATATTTGGAAATGAGTGGAAAGAATGGGTGTGGGTTGATTTGTTTAGGGGATGTCTTATTTAAGAGTTATCCTGGAATATTGTGGGTGGGTTCAGATATTTTTATAAATTATACTTCTACAATAGCAATGAGAAATCTGTGAATGAATGTTGATACAAATGAGTAAAATGTATGATATTTCAGAGTTGATGAATGGGAGGCCGGTAAATAGACTATAATACATTCAAACACAATTAATTATGATTATCAATAATTACTAATTTGTACTGAAAGAGTTTCCACAGTTTTATTATAAGAAATTACCTTTGATATCTGAAAAAAAGGTAAAAATATTTTATTTAATTTAAACTTGTTTTTAATGATATTAACAGCATCAAGATGTAATAAAACAGTTTTTATTGGGTGTCAATCACATTAGGGAACAACATTTCTTTGAATGATTGACATTCAAATCCACTTTTTAACATTCGTAATATGCTTCTGCTTGTGTTAAGTGCATATAAAACTACTATTGTTTGATATTTCTTTTCATTGCTGAGATATTCAATATAGAAAATTACAAAATGATGACATCATGATAGTGACCTAGTACATTCTTGTACCCAGACCCTTCTCACCAAAAAATCGAAGGCTCAGTATATGGTAAAGCAGTCAGTTTGATGTGTTTCATGGTGTTGCCATGGAAACACCCTTAGTCCAAGCCATTTTAAGAGGGAAAACGAAATTTCAATTTTTAACTTAATTTTATCTCAAGCCAGATAAGAGCTGAATTAATATTATAAGGAGTAAAGATATCAATCCTAGAAAAAAGGATTCAGGATTTTTGTTTATCTTGAAAATAGCCTGGGTCTGAGGGTGTTCCCATGGCAACACCATCAAGCATTTGCCTGTACTATAACGACTCATTAATTTGACTCTGACGAAGGACTAGCATCTGAAACGTCAGTAAGTTTTTTCATCTTTTTCACGGTGTATAATTTACCTTTTCATCATTACTGTTTCATTTGAAACACAGACACTGCTCACACTAGATTTTAGCTAGTTATCTCTTCTCTTTTATTTTCATTCATGTTGAGCTAATTCTCACAGAGTTGTCCTYCATTTGATGATTTGACTTTTTACTAGATACATCATTTTGTGATTTCTTATATTTGAATATCTTGGCAACAAAAAGAAATAACAAATAATGGTAAAATGCACTTTAATGGAAATAAGTGTAAAAATTGACTGACTGAGGTAAATACCCACCATTTTGACGGATGTTGAAATGATAGAATAAATTATTATTTAAATTGGTATTATCTAATGTCCATACATTCTGAGTTGATTGGTCAAACACAAAGCATTAAGATCAAAGCTACAGAGCTTTGAATTAACCTTTAAAATAGCCCCTTCTTAAAAATGTCTTGAATGCGAAGCTATCATAAAAATACAAAAGAAATGCCAAAAATTTCACTGAGAAAAAGTGTGATTTCTTTTGTATTTGTATGTTAGCCTTGCATCCACAATACTTCTGAGAAGGTGTATTAGATTGAATTTGTGTTTGGCCATTAAACCAAATTGTATGGAAAGTGGTGAAAAGCTTCAAAAGCCTTTGCAAGCTTGTGCTCGCTCTATCCTTTGCAAGAATGTGATATCTTTATTTATTAAGACAACAAAAGAAAACCAAATTATATTTATTGTTTTATCAAAGTATATGTTTAAGTAATATTAACTTCAACACACACAAACAAACTACTCGAAAAATACTGGCAGAAAATAAACAACTTCCTATCCCCCTACTTAAAGGCTTTTTTTTTTCTTGTCTCACTGATCCTGAGGCTTGAGAGTATTACCCTTGTATATTCAGCAATTTTACAATTTTTCATGGGCACTCTACAGTAATACATGAAACAGCTTTCCATTCTCATAGCACATAAGAAATGCTAATAGATAGGCCAGTGAGGTTTTGTAATAGAACATTTGCTATGAAACATTWAAAAAAACAATTAAAATCTGTTTCTTTGTCAAATTATAATATTTTCCAACTAGCTTATCTGACTTTCATGAATTTTTAAATAGTCTTCCACACAGGTTTGCCTCGCATGTTAAGGCGATCATTCTTCAGTATGCTGCATGAATGAGACTCCTTCTTTTGGTCAGGTCAGGAAAATGATCAACCATCACTGCAATTTAATGTAAATAATTTAATTAATTAATAATGAATAATGATAAATAATAATAATTTAACAACTGATATATATCGCTTGCTTG